TCTTCAGTCAGTTCTCCCTTGGAATTTAACCCCAGCTCCAATGGGAGCAGAGCCCTGCAATTTCTTGCTGCTCATGAATCTGTTCCTGGGTCTCTGCAGGTGAGTCCTGCTCTGCTCAAGAGGCACAGTGGGAATGCTGTAAGGCAGCACATTCTGCCATCTGGGGCTTTCTCACCCTGACATCAATCAAACACCTCTCTGAGTGGGCAAGGCCAGGGATGACTCACCACAGAGAAGGGTAACCTGTCCTCATACATCTCCCCGAGACTTTAACGGAGTGGGGAATAATAATGACAAACTCAGCTGTTAAAAGCCCCACTAAGATATTGATATTTCTCCTTAGTTGCTTTATGGGGGTGTTAGAGGATAAGTAGTGCAGAGAGGCCTGAGTGGAGATGGTTTGGTTTTGTTTAATGTACTTCAGCAGCCTGATTGTCATCTCTGCCATTACTGTTATCTGCATCCATGCCTAGGGGTGCCTTGCAGTGTGTCTGCTGGTTTCAATGCAGTGACTGTACAGGCTGGCAGATGTGGGGTGGCTACTGAACAAATGTGAGGTTCTATTAAGTGCAGCTTTCCCCAAACCCTCTGATTTTAAGGATTCCCACAATAAACCCCTCCTGCCCTCTCCTCCCGCTGCCCCCGGGCTGCGCTGCGGGGCTGCCCCGCCGGAGCCTCCCTGCCCTCCCTCCCCTCCCTGCTGAGCCTCGGTGCTGCTGATTGCTGGAGCTCACCCAAACGCACTCCTGGAAAAGGTCACACCAGTGCAAGATGGGCTTAAATGAAAATTGCTTTATTATGCATGTGGCTCTTCCTGCAGGCAGCTGATTAAGCAGCCAGCGGTGGCCAGATGTCTGCTGGAGATCCTCTGGGATGTAGTTTCAAAAGGTGCTTTGGATGACTTGCAGTTGTGCCTCTTGGTTGGCTCAGCCAGGCTGGGGATGCTTTTTGTCACAGCTGGGCACATTACACCCCATCAGGGCACATAGGGCTGCTTGTTGTCCTCACCATTGGTGTGAGGAGCTTTGCAGGGGGAGGATGCACCTCTGGTCCACTTGGAGCCGTGCTAGCACTGAGGGGGACTCCTTTCAAATGCTTTTATATATCAGGGTAGTTCTTGGTTCTTTTAACATGCTTTGTGCTTTTCTAATCTGAGTCAGTTTTAATCTATAAAGCAGCTTTCAGCTTATTTTCCCCTACACAACCTCTATTAATATTGGTGATAAATAACAACAGACACTGTTTTAAAGTGGCTATTTGATCAGATTGGGGAGATGTAGACAATATGATTCATTTGACATCTACAATTTAAAATCAAAATACTAGCATCTTCTGGTCTTGGCTTCTGCACCCCTGGGCTCTGTATAATGCCCTCTAGTCCAGAGATAAGGAGTTGCTTATAGCAACCCTAAATTTCCCCATTTTCCCCTCCAAGCAAACCTGCCATGTAGCAAACCTGTGCAGTGTCCCTGCCAGGCTGGACAGAGACACAGGGTGTGGAGAAGCCGTGCCTGTCTGTGAGCAGGGAAAGGGGTCTGAGTGGGGCTGCTGGGCTGTGTGGGTCACAGGGGGAGGACAGGAGGACAGGTGACCATTTCTGAGCCTGGAGCTTGCTGAGAGCTCAGAGAGAGCAGAAGCTCCTGGAGGAGGTGGGATATGTTGCACCTCATGGTTCAACATCAACAACATGAACTTTTTGTCTCAAACACAAGCAAAGCAATTATCTGACATCATCTGACCTGTTCAGGATGCACAGCAAGAGACAGAGGGTTGGGTTGTTTCTGCCTAAATTGACCCCAGCAATAAAGCTTAAAAGAGGAGCTAATGCAAATGATTCCTCTGCTTCTGTGTCACTGGGCACAGTAATACCTTCCTTAAAACTGCCCATAGTTCAATTAAGTTGCTTTTTCTGAAACTCTTAAGTAGAAAAAAGAAAGAAAAAGGAGGAATAATTCCACAGTATGTACTCTATTTTTCTTCATTAAAGGATATGGGGGAGAGGGGAGATCTGTTAAAAAAAAAAACACAGAAGAAATTCAGGAAAATGGATCTCTTCTAAAGACCATTTTAAGCAATGTTTGCTAAAATGTACATTTGTTTTTGGCTGAAGCCCTGTGTGATTTTAGCCCAATACCTGAGATGTGCACTAGTCATAGGCTGATGGATTTCCTCCTGAACATGACATCTCAGATTTGGTCTTTTACTCATACTTTTATTCTAGAAATGTAGCAATGCTGAAGGTCTGTACCTGCAGGACAGAAACCTGTGGGAGCTCAGTCCAGCAGAATCAATTACATTTACAAAGATGACTGTGACAAATGACCAGGAAGGTTCTGCTGAAAGCCACTGCCTGTCACCAGGCTCATGGTGGTATTTAATTCTCAAGGCTGAATGTCTCCATCCTGTTGTGGGAAATTCTGGTTGTCCTGAGGCCAGGCTGCAACTCCATTATAAAATCCAGGAGGGAAAACTCTTGACTGTTTAAATTCTTTGCCATTTTCCAAGTGGGCAGGGTGGCTGGTTGAGGAGGGCTCATTGTCCTCATTTGTGTGATGTACAATGTGGGACCATGGCATATGTCCCCTCTGCTGCACTTTGGGCATTTTCAGTGGCCAAGATGAATTTCTGTCAGCTGGCTGGGATGAGTGGCTGGTGGGGACTTTCTACATGGCAGCCATCTTTGTGTCATGAGGGGAATGCCAGCTGCCAGGCGGATCCGCAGGGACAGCCTGGGCACTTCACCTGTGGATGGGCTGCCACTGTGCTCTGACACTGCAGGGGTGGGAGAAATGATGCTCTGGAACACCAGAGGCTGATCCCTCCTGTGACACTACCCCTTGGCTGCTTTTGTTTGGGAGTGTGAAGGCCATTGTCCATCTGCAGGGCTGTGCCCATCCCTGGGGGTCACTGCCCCATTTGGGGCCAGGTTCCAGCAGCAGAACCCATCCCAGGGTCTCTCTCCTTGCCCTGGCAGGGACAGCACCACAGTGCTCCTCTTTCTGTTCCACATTATTGCCATTCCCACCAGCCCTTCCCAAGGCTGACCTGCCCCTGCTGGAGCACCACAAATCCCTGCAAAACCCTCAGACCAGGGGCTGTTTCATGGTGTGCTGTACAGCACGAGCCAGTGCTGAGCCATGCACAGCTAAAGGTCTTCAGGACATTCTGTTGCAGCATATTAAACTGTAAGGCTGTAAAATTCAATATCATACTTTCACCTGCAGTTCATCTTGTCCATTTAGTCTGCTAGAAAAAGGTGCAGACTGGAAGAAATAGGTGGAGGAGCATTTCTAGCCTGTTGGTAAGGCAGGAAAACATGAGCCTTTAATTTTTTTTATACAATTTTGTAATTGTAATAACTATTTATGTGTATTTGGTTCTCTGTAGGAAGCTAATAGTAAATTCATTTTTGATGCCTGTTTATTACAAAAGACTGGAGCCTTTCAACCCCCTTAGTGTGTCTGGCAACTCCTGGGAATTAATTGCATGCTGTCAGAAATGCAGATCCTGCAAATCCAGCCCCAGCCTACAAAGAGTAGGATTATTATTTAATTGTTCAGGACTAAATGAGGCTGCTTTTTAAAATTCTTCTCTTCCTGGTGGGCTTGAAGAGGTGTTTGAAGAACTGAAAGCTGAGGCAGAAGTTGGTGTGAGTTCAGTGGGGTGTGTTGCAGTGATCCCACCTGCAGCACTCACAGTGAGAGCTGCTGAGGGAATTGTGGCTCACTGCAGGAATTGCTCTGAGTAGCTGAAGGCTCTCATGGTTCTCATGCTGCCCCTCAGCATGAGATGGGATGAATGGACACCTCTGCTGTCCTTTCAGCTGAGTTAGGGACCTGCCAGGTCCCAATGTGTTTTGCCACCTGCCTCATCTCATAATTCTGTGCCTGAACCCACCAGGCTCCATTTAAAACCAGCGGGGAGATCTGGGCTGCTAGCAAGGCTTTTGCTGAGCCTCCTTGCTTTGTTAGTTAGAAGGTCTTCTAACTTCCAGGACAAATTTACCTGAAGAAAATTTGTAACTGCTTGTTTTTGTTCCAACTCAGTTTTGTCAAGTTTTTCTGCACTGCTATTTATCCCTTTATATACATATGCATATAGCACATGAAGTCTTATAAAATGCAATTAATACTCTGCTGTATTGTTAGAAGTGTCTGTGATTACATTCTGGGATTTTTCTCAGCTGCTTTGTGTTGGTGACTCGTCATTCAAGCCCAGCTGGCACAACTGGGTTCCTGGTTGTTTCTGACTGCTGAGGTTTTATAGCAAATGTATTGTTAGAGGCAGACAAGGGGAGAACCTTGTGTTTATTACTGTTGAATTCATCACATTTTTATCACTGCAATCTGCAAGGCCATCTGATTCTTACATTAAATACCTGCCCTTCAGTCCTCTGCCAGCAGTATAATTCCATTTTTATAACCTGTGCACTTCATCAGTACTTCTCATGCCACAGCTGTTAATGAAAATATCAAGACAGGCAGACCCCAGGCTCCTTCCTTAAGGAACAACTCTGACAAGCTCCATCAAGTCTGACAGTGCCCCTTTCCCCTCATTTGTCTCTTTGAAGCTGTATTTTAAAACCTATTCCCAAGCCTTTTACAGCAGGGAAATGTGACAAGCACTGCCTGCATGGTCCTCACAGTGTGCTTAACCCTTCGGTGTTTGATCTCTAACATATCTTCTGATCTCTTGAAATTTTCTGGTCAGGTTCTTCTCTATTCTCTGCTTAGTTTTAGTATTTTTTGTCCTTTTCATGTCCTTTTAGCTCTCCAGAGTAATAAGGAGCTTGATCCCAGATAGTTTTACATTTGCTGGGGGTACAAAATCTGCAATGTTAGTCACGTTCATTTGAAAAAATGTTGGGTTTCTTCCACGTGCAGTCTCCTGAGGTTCAGAATTCACTTTCTTATCTCTTTTTTGCAGTGTATCATAAGTATTTATAAATCAGAAGTATATAATAAGAATCCATAAATCAAACAATAGCTCCAAACACAGTAGTAAGTTATGCACCATAATTTATTATAATACAAACAAGTTCCTCAAACACAATATATTGTCTACTTATGAAAATATCAATATTCACAATTTAAATAGGTGATAGGTCCCATAATTTTATATACCAGCAACTCATCTAAAAAGTATTTTGTTCCTAGCTGTGGTATTCAAGAATACATACCTATAAGTAATTGTAAAACTGTCCATTCACAGCTTATTTTTTCTAATTGTAGATATTTGAAATAAAAATTAGAGTACAAAAGACCATCTCCACAACAAAGATGGTTTTGTCTCCAGGATACTTTTCCCGTAAATAATGACACTACATGTGCTTGGTTAAATTTTTACTATTGGAAAATTATGAGGTACAAATAATACAGCAAGACAATGGCTAGTTAGCAACAGTCATTGCAAGATGCTTTACACAACCAAAAATAAGGCAAGTATTATCAACAGCAGCTCCCATATGGCAGACTAAAAAGTCAAGGCTTTATTATCCAAACTGGACTCTAAGAAGGCTTTGAATGTTTGCTAACAAGATACAGCTTGATCCAAAGCCCTCCTAAAACAATGGGGATTGGAAAAACCAACCACAAAACCCACCAGCAACCTTCTCTTTAACTTCAAAGGGCTTTGGAAGCAAGCTTTTAAAGCCCTGCATTACCAGAAGTGAAATGATCAATCCACTGTACATGAAAATTGCACCTTGTCATTCCTAAAAGGATATGGAAAATGATTGTGAGCTTTTCCAAATAAGTTACAAGAACTGAATGGGTTATTTTTCATAGGGAAAAAAATACGCAGAAAGATTTTTGTTTTTAAATATGGTAATTTACAAAAATACATTATCAGGACAGAAAAAATCAGATGACACTGATAGTTTGCCGGATAAACATTATGTTACAAAAATTAATAAGTCACAGCATGTGAATGGCAGCATATGCCATGCACTTAAGTGAATTTTTTAATAAATAAAAGCCCTAAACATTCACTATTTTCTTTAAGGTTACTATTATAATAAGTAGAATAGTGAACTTCTTGTATAAATAGGGTTTTTTTTCAATAGATACATTCTCAAAAAATGAACCACTTATCTATATAGATATTGCACTTCAGACTCATTCACATTTAACTCAGACAAGCATTCCTCATAACAAATGTAGAATAAAAATAAGTTATAAATACAGTGTTTTTCCAAAATGAAACATACAGTACCTCTTCCATAAGGTAACTTTGGTTACTATCAACTGACGAAGATCAGGGGGAGGTTTCTGAGAGAAGGGCAGGGAGGATGGCCACGAAAGTGATTTTCTGTAAAACACTATAAAGGGACCAATAACTTTAATCTTGTCATGACCAATACAGCAAGGCTGAGCATCCCTTTTACACTTTATTATTGCAAGGGTGAAGTTTTGAGATCACAAAGATGAACAGCCAACAGACTGAGAAGCTCCTCATTTCTCTATGGGGACATTGAAACGGCCTGGTATCCATGGCCTGGTATCCCTGGCCTGGTATCCCTGGCCTGGTGTCCATGACCTGATATCCATGGCCTGGGATCCCTGGCCTGGTGTCCATGACCTGGTGTCCATGGCCTGGGATCCCTGGCCTGGTGTCCATGGAATGGTGTCCATGGCCTGGGATCCCTGGCCTGGTGTCCATGACCTGGTGTCCCATGGCCTGGTATCCCTGGCCTGGTGTCCATGGCCTGGTGTCCATGGCCTGGGCCTTTGCTGCCATTCCCTTCTGGGGAAGGTGAGCTCAGCTCTGGTGGGGTTGGCTCTTGCCCACAGGATGTGCAAACATCACCTCTGTGGCACAAGGGAACCAGGCTCTTGTCCTCAGCAGGACTTCACTTGGCATTTCTTAGGAGATTTGCACCAAAGCTGAGCCATCCATGTGTTTTAGAGAGATGTTTTCAGCCCCCTGATCCCACCATAGCAGGACTGACTGGATCCCTCCTCAGAGGACCTCTCTGTGTTGGTTCCTGATGCACCATGAGCTCCCTGCTAGATGGAGATGGGCACAGGCACAAACACAGAGTTAGCACCAAGCTAACTCTGATCCTGAGGCTCTGCTGTGTGCACTGACCACGCTGGGCTTGTGTTCACCATACACCTTCACTGCCCTCACACCTTCACTGCCCTCTGGTAAGTGCCCAATGAATAAAGAGGTTGTGGCATGTGGCTCCAAGAGACCACATGCCAAGATCTGAAAGGGAAAGAAATTAAAAGAAATGCATTTTCAGCCTTCCTGTAAATCTCTTGTTTTCTACACTTAGCATTGACAGGATGCTGGGTTTTGAGTGTGAAGAAAGAGAAGCTAACATCCTCTAAATAAGTGGAATACTTAGATCAGCTTAAACTAAGGCTTCAATGTTTTTACTGCTGTTGGGTACTTAATGAATTTCTTTCACAGTTTTTGGGGTTTTTTTAAACAACTAAATGGCAAATCTGCAAGAGGATGGCATCATCCATCAGGAGAAAATCTCAGGTTGAGGTTTTTATATGTTAATTCCGAAAGGCCTGAACAAGGGGGATAACTGAAAATTTGTATTGATTAAGAAGGAACTTGAAGGCTTTGATCACTGCTCACAGGAGCAGCTTCAGTGAGAGCTCTGCTTTAGGCAGGACTTGGTTTCACCCTTGAAAGTCCTTAGACACCATGACTGAAATAGTTTGGGAAAGATGCTGCTTTTGTTCTTGGCTCTAGAGACATCCCTCCCTCCCTCGAGCTCCCCTGTCTCAGTCACATTCTTAAATAACAACTTAAAACACGCAAATATTGGCAGCTTGCAGGATTGCTCTCCATGCCAAGACTGCAACAGGTACTGTATGAGTCCTCCAGCTTGTTCAAATGAGCCACAACCAGGCTTGTCACCATTTGTGTCTCACAGGCTGCCTCCTGCAAGGAGGCCTTGACAGCACAACTGTGTCTGGTGGCATTTCATGCCAGAATCAACACATCATTTTTGGCAAGTGCACACTCCAGAATGGCACCTTCCACAGTACACAAAAGCATCTGTTTACTTTCTCAATAGCAAACTGATGGTCAAGTAAGGTTTTGTTGTGTTTTAAAAGGTTGTAATTAAACACTGCTGTGGCTTTGCCCTTCTGATGACTTTGGATTGCACTGGTGTTGGGATGCAAAACGTTTGAGTGTGACTGAACACTAAGACTTGAACTCTGAAGCATATTCAAAATGCTATAGAAGAGATGGAGGTGTTTGCCTTCTCACTTCTGCTCCTAAAATCAAGTGCTCCTGTTTCCTCCCGACAGTCTTATCTGCCCCTGGCGGCCCAGGGAAATGAAATCAAATGACCTCTCTTCAAAACAGCCATTTCAGAAAATTACATCCTGAAGATGTAACCACTTGAAAGGAACTTGCACCTGGAAACTCCAACTATTGGCCTTTTCATGGTGATATTTTTATAGGCTTCCCATTCTTATCATACTGGTAAACAAGCATTTTGATGCAGTGAGAGTTGGCTGGGGAAATCCAAGGGCTGCTCGTTATGGAAAAGTTATGGTTTGTATAGAATTGCACAGGTTGCTTCTGACACTTAAAGAAGGCTTTCAAGGTGGCAGCTGCCATTGTGCGAAATCTTTTGCTAATAAAACAGTAGAGGAAGAAATTAATTGCAGTGTTCAGCAGCGCCAGCATATTGGCGATGTCCGACACAATATGGACCAGCCAGCTGTTGTTTATAGGAGACACGTAGAGGTGATACAGTATCATGATTACTCTTGGTGCCCACAGTATGGCAAAAATAGAAGTTATAGTAAACAAGATGGCTGTTGTTTTCCCCGTGGAGTACCCGCGCAGGCGGAAATTGCTCTTTCGCCGCAGCTTGTACACGATGATGGAGTTGAGGATGAAGAAGATGGAGCAGGGCACCAGGTACACGATGAAGCAGTGCACCCAGATGAGGACGTGGTGCACAGACGTGCTGGTGTAGTCCTCAATCCAGATGTTGGGCCACCAGTAGAAGGGGATGCTGGTGAGGAAGCAGGTGATGTAGACGCCGACGATGACCTTGCGGGTGCGCGCGGGGTAGGAGACCGTGTGGTACCTGAGGGGGTGGCACACGGCGATGTAGCGGTCGATGGTCAGCGGCACCGTGATCCAAATCGACGTGTGGATGGAGGAAAACTCCAAAACCTCGATTATTTTGTCCAGTGTCTGAGGCATCTGTTTGTTTAAGATGAAGTCTTCCATGAGGAAGTCAACAAAGACGATGAAGAAGAGAACCAGGATGTCAGCAGCAGCTAGAGCTAGAAGGTAATTATAGGAGGACTTCTGCCTCCGAGCTACTAGCTGGGAGAGGATGATGACTGTCAAGATGTTTGCTGTGGAGAAAGAAACACAGAGTTAGTCTATTAAGATGTAACATCAGATTTTCTGAGCCCTCCCTTTAAGTTGTTCAAGCACTTGGCAACATGACCACCTTAATAAAGTTCAAGAAATAAAAAGGAAAACACCCCAGTGGGGTCTCTCAGAGAAGCTGTTGCAATGACAGGAGCATGTGTCCCTGCTCTCATCTGTGGAATCCACCTCCTGAGCAGGGGGTGCTGGGACTCCTGTCTGAGCACACAAAGGGAGTGGTAGCAGGAGAAAAAAGCTCACTCACACATTTATTCTTCTTTCCCATCTTGCTTTTTGCACTTTTTCATATAACAAGGGATGAATGAGAAGGGCAGTTTATATTTATATAGAATATAAACAGCCTTCGTAGTACTTGAGAGAATTGTTGGAACACTAATGTGTAGCCAAATTTTAACTACTTCCTCTTGTTTACTAGAACTTACTGTGCAGTCTTGAATTGGAAAAAAATAAAAATTCCTATTATTACTACTATCAGTTTGGCTAGAACGAGACAGACAAGATTGTTCCCATCAGAAGCTGGCATCACTTGGCCAGAATACTTGAAGAAGTGCTTAAAAATCAGAGATCTGGTTTACTGTACAAGTGACTGCCAAATGCTTGTAGTTGATACTTTCCCAAGTTCTGTAAATCACTTCTTCTGGGCATTCAATGCTTCAAACATTTCTGCCAGCTTTGATGGATTTCCCAAAACAAATCAACAATAACTGCAAAGATTCCTTTAATCCAGAGAAAAAGGAAGTTGGTAACATAAAGGTAATGACAGTCTAGGACATGTCCTACAACTGAAAATGCTTGTTTTTTTAAAAACTGTTTTACTTGGCACTGAAAAAACTTCCTCCTTCATGAATGCCTTCAAAGCCTGCTGTCTGGGAGCAGATTTCTGCCACCAGGGAAATGAACTGCAGCACAGTGAATGATTTTGACTAACAGCCCTACCTATTTCTGTGTTAACTGAATGTATTAATTTTGTTCTTGGAAAAAAATACTAAACCAAACAAGACAATCAGCTGACTCTTTTCCTATATTAAAAAAAAAAAGAAAAAAAAAAAGAGAGAAAGAAGCACGATCTTTCCAATGGTTCTGTCTCAAATTCCCTTCAGGGGAATTTTCCCAATTCTGTCCTCCATTAATGTGAATGCAACTGCATTGATTTCAGCTCAGTGCAGACGTGGGAGACAAGAGGTGATACAGGCAGAACTGCTGTGTCATTTTTCACTTCCTTGCTGCGAAATGCCTCTGCTGTGCCTGCTGATGAGCCCTGGAGATGCAGTGAGTGATGTACTGTCAAGGAAATCCTCGAGCTGGAGTGTTTATCATGGCTCTGCAGCCACTGCTGGTTTTGGCCAGCCAGGCTGACTGGCTCAGCTTCACAGATATTGGATGTGACCCATGGGGTGCATCTTCTCTTTAAATCCTCTGGATTTGACTCATTCCAGCCCCAGCAGCTGGAGCCAGTGAGCAGCAGGGGGATGTCTGAAGGCCGTGGTCCCTGCTGGTGGCTCTGCCTGAGTGCCAGAGCAGCTCCTGCAGGGGTGCTGAAGCCATGCTGTGTGCAGGTACAGCAGCCCTGCTCCTCACACTTTCCATCTATTGCAGGGCTCCTGCTGCTTGCTTCTAACCCCACTCTGGTTTGCCACAGGAGTGGATTTATGAGCAGTCCCTTGTACCCTTTGCCCCTCTTTGACCCTCTCTCAGGATTCCCAGCCACAGCAGTGTGCTGAAATGCAAGTTATTTATCCAAGGCCAGCAAGCCTGGCTTGGTGAGGCAGATTAGAAAATGGATCTGACAAAGTACACATGAGATCCACCCAATTTTTTTCTGCAAGGGTTACTTGTGTTACTTGTGTCTTGCACTGGAAACACTTTCTCTGGGATCACATTAGAGCTTTTTTCTTGCTGGATGATGTGAAATATAGTAACACCATTTACTTTGTGAAAGCAGACACATTCTGGGGTGCAGCAGAAAGTTGCCAGTATGCCAGTGTCTTAGCACAGGGTCTGTGAGTACTTTTCCTGCTGCAAACTTTAGGGAAAGTGTGGATGAGCTATGGATGCCTCAGTCCATCCATTTCCTAGCCAGTGTTAAGTTGGTCCTTGGTGTGTCCTCAAACAGTATCTAAAGCTCAGTAAAATGGGAGGTGGGTGGGCACACCACTCTGTGACCAACTGTGTCCTTGTGCCAGTCTCTCAGTAACTCCTGAGTGTCTCCTCAGTGTCCTGCTCTCCTGTGGGCAAAAATTACCCATTGGGGGTGAAAAGTGATAGAAGAGTATTTGTTACCATATTTTAACCTTGCTGACACTAATTCTTGCAGTAGCATGGTGGTCTCTGATGAGAACTGTGGCAGAGATTATGATGATGATGGAGATATAAAAATATTTGTCTCTGCTGTAATTACATACAGCTGCTGGATAGGTCAGCACCCCTAAACTGTCCTGGATGGTACTCTGCCCATTTCTTGCAGAGTATTTTCTAGATACTAAGTGGTTAAGATCATTTGAATTTGAAAGAGATTGATCACTGTGCTGGGAGATGATTAGGGGATGACAGATGGGAATTTATGCCAGCATCACTTGCTGCAGTGCAGTAGTCTGAATTTATAAATATCTGTTTGAGAACCAGGGCTTGATTGGGGACTAGCTGGCTGAAGCCTTGAGGTGCTGCTGGCAGATTTAGCAGCAAGTGTACAAAATGGCAGTCTCAATTCTTTCCCTCCAGGCATGAGAACATGAGACATTTGAGACACAGCATCCAAAGGTCTCTGATACCCAAACACCTTTGTTCCAGACTGCCCAAAACAAGGCAACCTTCTAACTCAGCCAGGCTTCATCACAGGACACCCATATCCCTCCTTTGACATCTCTTCTGACTTTATCAGCTTCTAACTACAAACTGCAGCACCAAAATTCACACCATTGAGGTCCTTTGTGTCTGAGAGGGATGTTCCTTTAGGAGTAACTTTGGTCCCTGTGTGGGTTTGGGTTTATTTCCCATAGCAAAGCTGTGCTGCAGAGCCTGGGCAGTCCTCTGTGCCTCAAAGCAGTGCCTGTGCCCCAGGGCACAGTTTTACCCCAGTTCTCATTTCATGGATTGCAGCCATCACTCAAACAGTGTCTAAACATGGCCTTTGCAGGGGATTTGAAGAGCTCCTTTCAGTCACTATTTTCACTGCATGTGAGCTTCAGCAGGAGTGGTTGTATCTGCCTAAAGAAGAAATAGGCATAGTTCTGGGCTTTATTTGTGGGTTTTGTTTTGTTGTTTTTTTGGTTTTTTTAAATTGAGAGCACTTTGCACGTACACAGCAGCCTGTGCAGTCAAGTGGCCTTTACAGCACAAGCAGCAGCTCCCTGCATTGGGAACAAGGTGGTTCTGTAGTTCAGCAGTTCAGCTTTATAAACTACCTACATGAGGAGCCAGGAGTGCTGCTCACTGAGCATGATAAACATGAGGTCATGGAATATAATGGACAGCTTTTACCCAACACAGTTGTTGCTAGGATCACCACAAATTATTGTGTGATGTGTGAAACTTCTCTGCAGGCTTAGCAGTGATCACCTGACTGGCACAGAGACAGCTTACAAATGGGAAATTTTAAGTTGCTTCAGAAAAAAATGTTAGTAACACCTTCTTCTCAGATTTAAGAACTCCAAGAATGTAAGTACAATATGCTAAAAAAAGCTGTGGAAAAAAAAGGGATGTTCTGGCTTGATGGGAATAGATGATTTCCTCTAAGCTAGGAGGCAATATTCAAATGTAAACAGGTACTGTGTCTAGCAGGCAGATCTGACCATGGTTCCTAACACAGCTGCTCACCAATAGCTACCAGACTGGGATGAGGATGGCATTCAGCCCTTATTTTGTCCAGGAGCTCTCTGGAGAAGCTGATGACAATGGGTGATTTCTGACAAAGGTGCTATGTAACAGAAGTTATTAACAAAAAAAAACCCAAACAAGAATACTGTGGCAATATAAATACATAATAATTACTCATGTTGGCTATAGCTGGCCGTGTGATCTTTTCGACCTCTGGATGCTGTTTGCCCTTAAAGAAGAGAGGGTGGGTCCACATTTTCCTCTTACAACCAGTGTAGATCAAACTCAGCACTAGAGCAGATGGGGACAGACTGAACAGTGCTTCAGTTTGTTCCTCTCTTTTATTATCATATCCTGAGTTCCTTCTTAAACTGTTGTGAAGCATAAAGGGATACTTTATAGAATATAATTAGTGCAATACAAATTTTGTCTTCCCAGGGAGTTCCTGTGAGGATTGATTTTTGAAAATAAATGGATTTATTTGTTGTTCAGCTGTCTGAGTGCTGTCAAACAGCACACAGCAAGGCACCCCATGAGGGAAGAGCTGTCAGCTTCTGCTAGTGCCTGCACCATCTCCCAGGAAATGGAGAGGGGATATATGCAAAAAAAAAAAAAAAAAAGAACCTCATAAAACTATGGTAGGCATGGATGCAGGATTGCTACTGGAGATTTCACATCTTGTACTAAAGCCCTTGTGTGGCTTGTGCTTAGAAAATCCCATGTGCAGGGCCAGACCATGCCAGTTCTGAGGGTGGAAGAGAACCTGGAGGTAGAGGATGCCCAAGCTCCTGCCCAGGACAGCCCAAAGTCCCTCCTGTGTGCAGGAGCCTGGGTTAGCTACTGCAAGGGAAAACCCAGCACGGCCCTGCGCTTACAAGTCACAAGTGAATGAGACAGTCACTGCCAGAGGCCATACTCTGACAATGAAATCTGGCCTCTGGGGCCATTTTTCTCACTGACAGCATTTATTAGCTGAGATGGCTCTGGGGAAGGATGCAGTGAATGAGGTACTCTGCTCTGCAGCTGGCACTAGCCCTCAGTGGGTCACAGAGGCCAGAGAAGGATTTCAGTCCAGCACAAGCACTTCCCTCATTGTTGGAGGGCATAGACAGCACTGGCACGGAGCTGCCAGGGGCTGATACTCCCTCTGAGCCAGGCTGGAGTGCAGCAG